GTCAGGGGATTTCACCATCCCCATCCCTTGCCGCCTTTCGCTCACTCACGATCCTCCCATCCTCGTTCAGTCATCGTCATCGTCATCCTCCTCCTCCTCCTCCTTCCCCCCCCCCCCCCCCCCCCTTCCTCTTCTCTCCTACACGTCTCCTCCTCGTCCCATCGTCCCTGGCGTCTTTCCGGTGCTCACTCTCCACTCTCAGGCACAGAGGGGAGACTCGTGGGCTCGGAGGCATCTTCTTCGACGACCTCAACGACCGCGCCCCTGAGAAGATCTTCGAGTTCTGCAAGGTCCGTGCACTCCTCCCTCCCTCCCTCCATTTGCTTCCTCTCTCCTCCACTCCCTCACTCCTTCATCCCCCCTCCCTCGCTTCTTCCTCTCTCCCTCCCCCGCCACCTCCTCACACTCTCACTTCAGGATGCCGTTATGAGCGTGCCGGACGCCTACCTCCCCATCATTGAGAAGCACAAGAACGATGCCTTCACCGCCGAGGAGAAGGAATGGCAGCAGCTTAGACGTGAGATCTCTCCTCCTCCTCCTCCTCCCTGTCAATTTCTTATCATCCTCCTCAGGCGGAAGGTACGCCGAGTTCAACCTTGTCTACGATCGCGGAACCATCTTTGGCCTCAAGACCGGTGGGTTACATCACATCTCCTCCTCCTCCTCCTCCTCCTCCTCCTCCTCCTCCCTCACTATTGTTACCAAAGCTCCTCCTACATCTGCTACACTTCCTACCCCTCCTCCTCGTCTCACCTTAGCTCGACAGGAGGCCGCACTGAGTCTATCCTGATGTCTCTTCCCGAGACGGCTCGGTGGGAGTACTGCCATCAGCCGGCCGCTGGCTCCCCCGAGGCCATCATCATGGACGTCTTCAAGAACCCCAGCAAGTACAACTTTGCGGCCTAAGACAGCAGCGAAACACTCTCTGCTCTTGTACTTTTACTGAAATAAACCCAATCACATGCAACTTGTATCGGCGCAACAGATCTCCGCCTCATCCCCCCGCAACCTCTTCCTCCTTTCCTCATCCACATTGCCCCCCCCACCTGCCTCTTCTTCTCACCCCTCTCGTATGCCCCCTCCTCGTACCCCCTCGTCCTCCTTCCTCCTCCTCTCCCTCGTTTCTGAGCGTCCTCACTTTCCCCGCCTCCTCAGTTTAAGTCTCCTTCTTCTTCTTGCACAGATAGACATGTCGAGTGAACCCAGCTGTCATCCCCTCCGGAGTACCTGAGGGTCAAAATACTTCACCAAAGGACATCAACCCTTCCCTCCTTCTCCAACCATCCTCCTCCTACCCTTCCTCTCATCTTCTTCTTGCCGACCGTCCATCCTCTACACTCCCCTCCTCCCCTCTGCCTCGTCTCCTCCTCTCCTCCTCCCTCCCCTTCACTCTTCACGTCATCTCACCCAAGTCTTCCACCAGGAATCCAGCAGCTTCACACAGCAAGTGAGTGGGAGAGCACAGGAGGGTCGAGGAGGAAAACTCACAGGGAAGGGTCTCGTTGACGAAGAGGTTCGGGCGGATGCGAATGCTATTATATATCGCTTCGATCTTGGCAGAGCGAACAGTCAGAACGAAAACAACAAGATGTAGCGAAAAAGCAAAACAGGAGACAGCTCAAAACACAACAGAGAACAGGTCAGATGACAAGGACACCACAAGAAGGCCCAAAAACGTCAAGTCAAAACTCAAACATCTTCGCACCTCAGCCGAAACTTTCCTCTTGTTGTGGTATGACCTGCCGGTACACACAGGCGCATGTCAGCATGGCGGGGACATGAAGCTCCTTCTACCTCCACGGCTGAGGCTCCAGGATCAGAATCCCGTCATCCTACCAAGGAGCTGTGAGCTAACTAGAACAGGAAGGAGACGGAAAGACCTGCAGGAGGTCGAAACACTTGCGAAACATCTTTTTGATCCCTTCATCGCCGTGAACAAGGTGGACCCACTGATTGTGTAGAGAGACGGCCATCAGAAGAGAGCGGCAGGAGGCAGGAGCAGGAGCAGCGGGGAGAGCAGGAGGAGAAGTGGGAGGACAACCGGGGCATGAAGATAAAGAGGATGAAGTGGTGGTGGTGGTGGAGGAGGAGGAGGAGGAGGAGGAAAGAATCTTCTTCCTTACTTTTGTCACGCTGAAGCAAGTGATGACGTCATACCTGCGAGCCTGTGAGGATGTGACTGGCAAGACAGGACAACAACCTGACGTCTCTGAAATGATCGTTGGTAATGAAATCTTCATGTTGGAAGTACACCTGGACAAGAGCATGAAGGAAGGAGGAAAGAAGGAAGGAAGGAAAGCAGGCAGGCAGGCAGGCAGGCAGGCAGGCAGCTGGAATGGGAGGGAAATGGGGGCAGAGTGAGAGAAGGAGGAGAGGAAGTGAAAGATGCGTATGAGCACACGAGATGTGTTCCTACCGGACACTTGCTCCTCCCTTCCTTCTCGAAATCTTTTCCATCAGCATGTCAGGATGCAGCCAGGAGCTTGTCACAGTTCTCTTACCCCACTTGATGTTCTTCTTCACCCTCTTCGCCTGTTGTGCTCGACAAATGAGTTCGAAATCTCTCAGGCGCGTCACTCGCTGACCTGCTGGACCAGAGCAGCGTCGCAGTCGATCCCAATCATGCTCTTGCACTGCAACACAAAATCACCCTAACCCCTCCCTCCCC